TCTCTTAAGTGTTAATTGTGTGCATGTACCATCATAAAATTAAGATGTTATTTTTACTAGAACGTAGGTATTGTGTCGGAAAAAGTGGAGTTTGGGGGTCAGCTGGTCTCTATTTCATTTAATCCCATATGTTATGTTGTTCACTTTACTCGTTTCTCGCTTTACGTGGGCCTCCGTGGGTTCAATTGACCGCGTAAAGTGAGGGTTGACTGTATATCCTAAACTTACCACTGTCGGTAGTTTCAAGAATTAACGCAGTCATTTACTGAATATTCTTTTTAAAAAAATAAATTTTAAATGAATTATTTATAAGAGATAAGTATTATGATCATTAAATATACAGATATGCATTACTGACCACCTCTGAACACAAGGACAGCTAAAAATAGCCACAGGCGGTCACAGTCAATGTCACTTTCCCTTTCTTGTCACTGGCAAATGGCGGGGGGGTGATGATAGCAGCTGTGTTTATTACCGGGGTATATTGTTCTTTTACGGTATGTTAGACAGGTTTATAATACATTTTTATTATTTTAATATACCGGTAATCTTCATTTTAATCCAGCTTCCCAAATGTAAGTTTCAGTATAAAATAATTAGTGGTAGGACCTTGTGAGTGGTTTACCATGTTTCCATCACCACTCTTGACACGCTAAACCGCAATATTTAAGAGGTAAGAATTTTATATCTGGTGCTTAAGACGACCCCCCTAACTTTGGGCTGATTTTTTTATGGTTCAAATTCTGTCTTATAGGAGATATACAGTAGATAAAAAAAAAAAAAAAAAATCTACAATGAAATACAGTATAGTAAAAGTAATAAATAATGAGGAATGGATACAGTGTGACTGAGCACTTACCTTTAATGTAGTCAGCTGAATGCACACGGTGCCCCCATAATTTTCTAATTATACATGGCGACTACATTAACTGGAAGAAGCAGAGGAGGAGACAGGGCTGGGTGGGTCAACAATGTCGCTTTCTTCAGACAGGTTTGTGGACTTTGGAAACTTGCTGGTTGAAGGTATTGGATCATCTTCAGGGAGTGAAGAGGCAGCACTGGGGGACTTCTTAAAATAGATGTCCAATTTAGACTGCACAGTTTGTTTTTTTCTCTTCATTATAAATTTCTCTGTAGCAAGCAGGTGCATCTTGGATCATTCTGTCAACTTTGGCATAACGCTCATAATTTTGATCCATGCCATCAAACATTTGCATTCCTTTATTAATTGTAGCAAATGCCTCTGCCATTTGTTTCACTGAAAACTTTTTGGGGGGTGTAGGTTCTTCTTCTACATTTTGTCTCTCTTCTTCCTCTGCAATTTTCTGTGCATCTAGTTCAATAAGATCCTCGTTACTGAGCTCTTCTGCTACACTTTCAACCAACTGTTCAACATCTTCATAATCAATTTCTTACTCCAGCTGTTTACCTAACTCCACTATCTTGTTACTAATATCCGAAATAGCTTCATTTTCATTCAATCCTTTGAAACTGTTCACATATCTTTTCAGGATTTTCTTCCATATTCTATTCATGCAATGTTTTGTAACCTGATGCCATGCTGCACTAATGTTCTTTATACATGACAAAACGTTGTACTCCTTCCAAAACTCTCTGGGCGTTTTCTCACCTTCAGTAGCAGCAACAGCCTGAGTGAAGGTCGTGCGTAAATAATACGCCTTAAAGGCAGCAATATCACCTTGATCCATGGGTTGGATGACAGAAGTAGTGTTAGGTGGAATGTATACTACCTTAACCTCAGGGTGGATGTCCCGGAGCATTATCCAAAATGAGCAAAATCTTGAATGAAATCCGTTGTTGCAGACAATACTCCTTGGCTCGTGGAATGAAACAAGTCATGAACCCTTCCTCAAACAGTGCTAAGGTCATCCAGGCTTTCTTATTACTGCGATAAAACACTGGCAGTGTGTGCTTGCTGACATGTTTAAAAGCCCTGGGGTTCTCTGAATGATAGATCATGAAGGGCTTTACCTTGAAACCAGCAACATTCCCCCCCACAACAGAAGTGTAATTCTGTCCTTGAATTCCTTGAATCCTGGCATTGTTTTTGCCTCTTTGTGGATGTATGTCCGCTCAGGCATGCGCTTCCACAATAATCCAGTCTCATCCACATTGAATATTTGCTCAGGCAAATAATTCCCTTCCGCAATCACATCATCTAACTCCTCCTTAAAAGCTTCGGCAGCACCAACATCAGCACTAGCTGCTTCTCCACTCACCTTAACATTGTGTAGACTGTAGCATTTTTTAAATCTATTAAACCACCCATGACTTGCTGTAAAGGATTGCTCACATTCATCTCCTGCCTGCTCCTTCAGGCTTTGGAACAGGCTTCTTGCTTTAGCCTGTAAGGTTAGAAGGCTTAAGGGTACACGCTTCTGTATCTGGTCTTCTATCCATATCACCAATAATTTTTCCATACCGTGAATAGGACCTTGTCTTTTCTTTGATATTATAGTTCCCTTTATAGGTGTTGTTCCTTTCACTACATCACGAATACGTTCCTTGTCCTTCAGAATAGTGGATATAGTCGAGTGTGAGAAACCTAGGTCGCGTGAGATTGTTGCTACTGTTTTTCCATTCTCATGCTGTGTTATTATCTTCATTTTCATCTCAAAAGTAATTGCCTGTCTCCTTTTCTTTGGAGCACCACCAGTACTCTCACTTGTACGCTTTCCAGTCATTAGAAAGTCAATTAAATACGATAATAACGTAAGTATACAGCGCGATCAGTATAGGATACGATAGCCAAACACCAACTAAGCGCTCCACTGAGTGTACCCACTCGGTGACCCAAGCCACGCCACGCTGTCGCTCAGGACGGAAACGTTTCGGTCTAGAAAATGCACACATCATTTGAAAAAAATTTTGGTCACGACTGCGGCGGTCGTATGTCCCGATGGTCGTAAGGTCAGAGCAGGTTGTAAGTGCGGATTGACGTGAGTTGAGTCAGTCGTAAGTCGGGGACTACCTGTATATGTATACTGTTTACGATTTTCTTTGTCCCAATTATACACGTCCTAGTATGAATACCATGTGGCTATCTCTCTTCCTTCTCTCATGTTCGTTCACAAAAACTTTTGGGCTTCAGCCCTGGGTTTTCTAATTGCTCTCAACATGAAGGCCAGAGTTGAGTTTTTCTCTTCATAACTTTATTTTATTGATGTCCATTAAACGTTCTGAAAAAGGCAAAACACCCTCAGTGATCAGTAAGGCGTTGGGCTTCAGTCAGTCAACAGTCAGAACAATTTTGTAAGACAAACAGATAAGTCTTGAATATGTAAAAGGATCTACACCAATGCACTCAACTGTGATAACAAAACAAAGAAGTGGATTGTTAATTGAAATAGAAAGATTGTTAGTGATACGGTTGGAAGATCAAAATCAACGGGATTTGCCTCTAAGTTTAGCCTTGATTCAGGAAAAAACGAGAAGCTTGCACTGCTGACTTGAAGCACATGGGGGTGAAAGTGATGGGGAAGATTTTATTCCTAGTAGGGGCTGGTTTAACCGTTTCAAGGTAAAGGCAAATGGTGTTTGGAAAAACACTGCCCACATTTATCCACGATTTCAGGGGCTCTGAAAATGATGTTGGGGAAGTGGCCACAGACTGGTAGACCTTGTGAACCAACTCCAGCTTGATATTCATGAGGATGATGTCACACAGTTGCTTGAGTCTCATGCTGAAGAATTAAGCAGTGATGACCTGATTGAACTGGAGAAGCAAATTTTATCAAGAGGATGTAGAGGAAACTGAAACTCCAGAACCAATGGGATTCATTTGAAAATAAATGGCAGATTGTTTCAGGCTTATTGAAGAAGGATTGTTTAAATTTAAACAGCAAGATACCAAGACAGCAAGATTCACCAAGATTCATAGAAATATAACTGAACATCTCTGATCCTACAGAGAGATTTATGATGAAAAGAAGAAAGTTTCAGTTCAACCATCACAATAAAGTCTCTGTCACTCCTACAAATGCCCATCACTATATGCAAGTCAGTTCCAGTGTAAGTGTTAAACTTTAATTTTTACCTTTCTTTACTTTATTTTGTCATTAAATTTCTTCTTTTCTCTTAAATTAAGTGATTCGAGATGTATAAAAGGACTTAGGCTATGATATAGTGCACATAGGGTGTTCCAACTTAAGTACATTTCCGACAAGGACGGCCTCAGTAACGGAACACATTCGTCACCCAAGGACCCCCTGTAATATGTGAGTCCTACTATTTGGTTGGAGTTAGGATTTGTAGTGAGTGAATTAAGTACAACTCCTGACATGGGACCTTCCATTTTATGGCCAAGAATACAATTTATTTTTTTGTAGATATCCCCCTTTTCCTTAGAGTGAAGCCCATAATTGGCAAGGAACTGAGACTTGAAGTTGAAATCCAATTTAAACCTGAGAGTCTGAAAAATTTCTGCTTTGGTTCCTTATTGGTCCTTGAGACAAGAGCCAAGTCCACATTTGATTGTTTGTTCAATTAGTTAAGATAGTTGCAGGGATTTTGTCTGAAGGAAAACATTATCTTCTTCCTGGGCACTGAGAGGCTTTGCCCAGGGGTGTTCTATTCCCTGTAGGTAAATTATTTGCCTTCCTGGTCATACAAGGGCACGTTGTAATTTTGTCCTCAATTTTTTTTTATTCATATTTTTTCCTCAGACTAAATGAGAATTTGTAGTAGAATGTGAGCCATATAGTAATATGTAACAGTTAATACATCTTGTATGAAGGTTCCTCATATGTGTTCAAACAGTCTTATAAGCTTAGTTAATAGAGTCTCTTACTTTTCAGATATTTTTGAAGTTGAATGATTGGTTAAATGATGTGAGAAAATATTGAATTACATTTTAAAATGTTCAGAATAATGTATGATATCTGAATATTATAATAAAATTTATGGAATACTGCACTGTAGCAGTGTCAGTCAGCGTGAAATTTTCAACAGACTTTCTAATTCTTTTGATTATATTGCAGATGTGAGCAAATAATGGTAGCACTGAAAGATTGTTGTGCCAGTATTGACTCAAGCAATGATATACTACACGTGTTGGAAGCTTTGGTGGAGTTGTCTCCCCATTCCTCACTCACCAATATTGTGTGCTCCACCTCAGGTACTTACTCACTGAAAAACCTTCCTTTAAGGCCCTTTTATGGATTATATCTGGCCCAGGTGAGTTATGAATTATGCCAGTCCAAGGTTGGTGTCGACCCCAGATATCACCTAAGTAAAGTGTTTTGTGTTGGTCCTTTTGCAAGTTTGCCCTTTCGGTCCTAATTTTTGGACCTCTGATTTTTTTTAAACCATTATAAAATATTGTACTGTATAGAATACTGAAACAAATAATATAAGAATTGAACATTCTTTGATCTGTAAGTAAATTTGAAAGTAGTATATGGGAAGTGTACTGTTATGATAAATGACATTTTGTGTACTGTATTATGATATTTTTCATGTTTTAAGATAACTCTGTTGCTCCCAAGATAATACATGGATTTCAACTCCCTGAAAATTTGCAAATACAATACTAGAGGTTGGAGTTAATGAATTGGAAGTTGGTATACAGTATGTTTATTAAATTGCAATTATACGAAATTTATGAATCCAGAAACCACGAGGGTGTACGGTATGACAGTAAGGAATTTCAACTAGTCAGTAAACTAATTCAAGCCCACTTAGCATCTATGTTTCATGGGGTCAATGTAGCAGATATAGCCAGACTTGATACACAAGTCACCTGGTGTAGACTTAACCAGGAATCAGAATTTTTAAGATGAGTCCATCATTGTGGTGTGTGGTAAACAAAGAGACAGTAAGTATAAGCGGTGATGTTTTCTTCATTTAGGAATTAATGTGTCCAGCTTGTCATTGAGTATATTTAATTAATTTAGACTTTTCTTGGTCCAAACACATACAGGTTCATGTTTAGTTGGCAATTTATGTAGCTGTATTGACAAGATTTATGATTGTGGCCTTACCATACCCACTGTGTTACTGAGCTGGATAATGATATTGGTGAAGAAGGCACCATCCTGGCTACAGTCAACGTGTTGCTGCTCAGCCAAGCTTTTAACCACACTCCTTAAGCAAGTCCATCAAGCATTGGATTTTTCTGAGCCTGAGAGAGGTACAGTAAGTGAGATATTCCATTCTTCATATTCATCGTAATAATTTACGATTCTTAATTTTGATATTTTATTGGAATTTTGTAAATATTTTAATTCATATTGTTCATATGATATCCAAAATACATTTGGATTTCATTGTTGAAGTACGTGTTATTGTATTATTATTATTATTATTATTATTATTATTATTATTATTATTATTATTATTATTATAATATATATATATATATTTTTTTTTAAGGAAATAAAAAAAAGGAAGTGTACAAGCTGCTGCTGTCCTCTGTCCGGGTGTTACACAATTGGTCCATGGTCGACCCCAACTGGTGGGAAAAAGTGGCTCAACTGCCTCATTATACTTCTTTAATGAATTTTATCATTGCCAATGCCAAGGACATTCAGCCTGACAGACAAACAGGTGGGATATCTCAAGATAAATCACTAATATTTAACCACGGTAGTACCTCAATACACCGGACTAACTGGGGCAGACCCCGGTCCAGAATATGCAAAAATACAAAAAAAGTGAATCTATTGGGTGGAGATAACACCGCTTATATGGACTGTTTAAAGAATATCAGTTGTTATAATGTTATTACTGCACTTCCACAGCTAAAGTCTTTAAGTACAGTACATAAAAAGGTTATTTAAACGATCACCAATAAAAAAATATGAGACAACTCTTTGGGTTGTAAATCAGACATAAGTGGTTGTGGACAACTGTTTTCCTATTTTCACCAAGATGATTGTCTTGTACTGTAAAGTGTTACAGTATATGTAAGTAAATACATAATTTTCCTTATGAATAAAGATAAAACTACTGTATACTGTACAGTACTATAATGGTAAAAAATAAGAAGAAATAAGTGTAGGGATACAGGGGGCCCCGCAAATTCACGGATTTTTATTTCTCGGTCCTCTATTATTCGCGGATGACACCCTGGATGTACTCAAGAATGTCTACGGGTAGTTTTAAAGTTGCCAGCATTTTTGTAGCCGGGACAGGGAGCCATTCGTTCTAGAGACAGTAATTTCCTTTATCTGTATTGTAAATATGTGTTTGTGTGTGTAGACACACATGCACACACAAAACACATACTAATAAATAATTATGGAAAAATTCTCTTGCACAGTCAGAAACAAATTTATTAAAAATGTGAGTCAACCCTCAAGTTTGTGCTTTATTAATAAAGTAATAAAGTACAGACTAAAGGGTAGACTCACATTTTTAATAAATTTGTTTCTGATTATTTGTGAGAGTATTTCCCATTATCATTTATTTGTATTTGTTTTGTGTGTGTGTGTGTCTACACACACACACACACACACACACACACACACACACACACACACACATATATATATATATATATATATATATATATATATATACAATGCAGGTAAAAGAAATAAATGTCCTAAGGGCAAACACATAAAGGGAATATACATTTCTTTGTACACAAATAAAATGTAACCCCCCCACCGGTCAGGAAATATTATTCGCAGATTTGGCGATCTGCAGTTATTTTGAGAACCGAACTCCTGTGAATTTGGGGGGCCCCTGTATCAGTATATTTTGTGTGGGAGATAAGAGTGATTTGGGAACAGTGGGTGGGTGGCTTCCTCCCTCCCTCAAGATCCCTTTTACTCATCTTGATGCAATTTCACCATAATTATCATATAATTTAGGTTAATTTGGTGCCCGGTTGATAAAATATTATTGTAAAATAATCAACTTTGCTGAAAAAGGGAATCCCACACTCAACACCATGAGTCATTTGTTTACAAAGGGCAAACATCTGATAGGTTTAGCTCTTTCACTACTCATGCTTACCACAACATCTGTCTTTAGGACTTAGTAAATTAGTGATGTACAGTCAACCCTCACTTTACGCGGTCCCACATTCCGCATTTCCACGTTTACGCAGTGCCCTGCCGGAACCCAGGATGCTCACATTCCTCGGTGCGTGTACCCCTTTACGCGGAGAGCGGCTGGCGAGCCGCGCCATTTTTGGATCCAAACCTCCCGTCATCCGCCATGTTGTGTAAGCGGTGCGAACATGGTGCGCACAAGGTCGCCCAGTCATCAAAACATAACCAGTTCTTCACCCGCCACCCACCACAGCCGGCCCAAGTCAGTGATAGTGATAATTATGGTGAGGATATGGACTTATATGGACTTTGGGGGGTTTGACAAAGAGGCCCTGCAAGCCTCTGTGGTGGATAGTGATACAATTGATACAAGTGATACAGGTGAGGGCCAATAATCTGCCCTCTGCCTCGGAAGCAACCGCCCATCCCCGTGTGCCCAGCCATCTTTTTCTACTAATGTAAGTGTTAAAAAACCTAATATTATTGATATTTCTCTTAATTATTAATTGTGTGTGCATACCATCATAAAGTTAAGATAATATTTTTACTACAACATAGTTGTGTGTCGTCAAAAAGTGGAGTTTGGGGGTCGGCCCAGTCTCTATTTCAGTTAATCCCATATGTTATGTTATTCACTTTACGCGTTTCTCACTTTCCGCGGTACCCTGTGGGTTACATTAACCGCGTAAAGTGAGGGTTCACTGTACTGTAGTGTATTTATCATCACTTCATAGTATTGTATTGTGTATTATGCATCTGTATATTCCCTGGTTTATTCATTAATCAGTTGTCTAAGTGTACAAGTAGCCAGATTGAGCTGCCATCTCGTATCACTCAAAGGTAGTAAATAACATTGTTAGGACAGTATCTCCATATCAAATACTGTACTATACATTGTGTTATAGTGACCCCTGTTGTAAGCTGATTTACTGAATGCTCTCACAGGAACATATCCTGAGTGAATACCTTCTGATACAGCTTATCCTTTTATTTTCAAGCCAAATTACAAATATTTTATTAATCATGATGAATCATATACCATAAGAGGCTGATCATGAGATTATAATATTGAATCCATAAATAAACCTGCCAAACCTGCTTACATACAAAGTGTCTTAGCTCCTGGTAGCTTACAGCAAATCTGTTTAGACCACTGTACAGTCTTCAGTGAGCAAATATTATTCATTTCATGATTGTTTTTTAATTTTACCTCTTTCTTAAAATATGTACAGTACTTTACATTATTCAAACGCATTTTTAAAACCCTCAGGTATCCCTGTTAAAGACAATATGTACTATACTCTTAAAAAAAAATCACATAAATGAGTGTAAGGTCGCAAGGTGCAACACTGATAAGATAAATATGAAGGCAGGAGTCACACTAAGACACGTGCCACATGACACCCACGCACAGACATTCAACCACACATACAAACAAACCATCCAGATTGAGGCTGGATTTTTTTGGACTTTTTAAAATATTTCTGGTGAATAGAGGGGCGGTCCGGAGCATTTCAGAGAGTCTGAAAAACTAATTCCATTGTATTGAAGTCCGGTGTATAGAGGTTCTACTGTACTGCTGGCACTAACTTCAGAAACAATACCTTAATGCCGTACCTGTATATAATGCCTTAAATTTGTAGGTACTGTATTCTTCATCCATTCATTTGTTTTCTATTATGTACAATATATACAAGTTATACAAGGAAATTTGAATATGTAGAGGGTTTCTAATTGTTGTCATAGTCGTTTCATTTTGTTTTCTTCTCTTCTCTTGCTCTACGTTCCTTTACCCTTTCCCTGATTTCTTGATATACCTGTTACCCTTGATTCACCCCATACAGAAGTAGGAGAGTAGTAATGATGGGAGATACAATAAGTTCATAAATCTAAATTCAAGAATCTGGAACACTCAAATACCTACACAGTTACAAATGTAATGTCTGTGCCATGATTCATGCTTGATTTGGGGTATGCAGTCACTGTGAGATAGTCATTGCCTCATTGTCTATTGTATCATATTTTTTGATGAACCTGTGACTTTAAATGAAAAAAAATCTTGTGAAACAATGGTATTCAAGAAAAGACCAAGTGATGCTTACAGTAGTGTGAAAAGGACACATATTAATCTTAATTTTATGCAAAAAGCTGAGTACCTGTACAGGTGGTCCCTGCTTAACATAAGTTAGTACAATATGAAATTCACATTAGAACAGGGAAACAATTAGGGAAACTATTTGCTAAGCATGAAAATGTTCCCAGTTTAACACGAGCTGTATCATGTCACGGTGTCATACCAGCCTGTCTCTGAATGCTCACCTCTGCAGTCTGTCTCAGACAGGTACTGGCTTTTTCTCTGTTGTTTCATGATTTATTTTTATTAACTTGCCAACATAAATACAGACCAACCAAAATAGTAACAGGAGTGATGCTGACAGCAACAGACAATTTTTTTTTATATTGTTAAAGATAAAACTGAAATTGATTGAACATTTTGAAAAGGGAGTGTCTGTTGAGAAGGGCAGCAGTGAGCAGCTGAAATATACAGGGCTTCTCTTTTGAATTTGTTTCCTCCTATTGTAGGTTTGTGTTTAATATACAAATAAGGATAAAGGCAACGCTTTGCACAGCCTGTACTTGTCCACCACAAGTGACAATCACTAAGGTAGACATGAACAAGTCCTGTTTGATCCTGTTAACTCAGGATCTGCTTGTGTGACAAACTTTATTGCAGTATATAAAATAAATAACAAAGAATAATGAATTAATGATACTATTCTGTAAAGAAAGAGAGAGAAAGGAGGAGGATTAATATCTGGTGGGTTCGTATTGAAAATAGTAATTTATGAAATATATTAACCCTTTCGCGCATGATGACGTGATTCGCATCATATTCATGATAAGACCAACTTCACGGTGACACAAATTGAGTCAACAAACTTTAAAAAATTTGCTTAAAATTAAGTTTTCAATAGAACTGCGTCAAATTTTGATGCGTCATAGTAGCAAGTAAGTTCTAATGAATAAACTACAGTAGTGAAAATGATCATGATAACAATAAAGTCATGAATCCGAGGGAGAAATTGTGTCGGCTGCATCCGCATTATCACGTGACTCACCACCAGAGACTCCCCCTACCACCACCCCCGCACCAACAACGTACCACCCTCACTCTTCTTCTCCACATCCCAAGCATCTCTCTCATATCACCTGCATTATGCACACCTCATACCATCTGCCACCTCCCTCCCTCACCACCCAGGTGGTCCACCACCACCCCTCCCACAGTCACCAAGCACCTTCCATCTCCCACACTCCACTTATCAGCTATGCTACATTGGAATCCCTCTCCTTCTCTACATCACACTCACATACCCTCATCCACACTCCCACACTCTCATCTACACTCCCACATACTCATCCACACTCCCACACTCATTCCTGACCACCTGAGGGTCAAGACCTATCAGGTGTTGCGCAGCTACCCCCCCTTGGCCAATGTTGGGCCCATTCCAAAAGTCCCTCTCCCTGACCCATCCTCACCAC